TCTTGTCTTTGGGTGCCCAGCACCAGGCACACAAAAGGCACGCAAGACATCCTTGCTGGTTGTTCATCATTACAACTGGTTTTTTCTTTGCTTATTATGTTTTAGCCCTCATTTTGTTTTGCTCGTGAGTATATATTTGCATATTTGCAAATAATACCATTTATGTGCAGCTTTAAGGTTTGCGATGCACTTTATAAATACTATCTTATTTTATCCTTAAATTATCCCTGGGAGGTTGGTGCTATTATGACCTCCACTTTATAGATGAAGAAACTGAGGCAGAGAGAGGTCACATAGCACTCTTTCTTTGTTGGTGTGAAAGCCACAACGTGGCCAACAGGACGCTTTCTGGGTAAGGGGGCTTTCCCTGTGGCTCTCCTTCCTCTTTTCCTAGCTCCTCTTCTAGAGGAGAACTAGGGGTGAGCTGGAGAGATGCTCCAGGAAGAGGATTCCCTTCCCACCCTCAAAATTCCCAAGCACAGATGTCAAACCCGCTGCCCAAGGGCCACTCCCGAGCGGGCCCAAACTAGATTAAAATGTCATTGGGAAATATGCAACAAAATAAATAAAAATATAATATATAGATACCTAGAACATAGATAATGTTAACATATGGGTTTCTATGGTAATCTATAGCTTCTGGGAATCCTAAAGTCCAGTTTAGTGACCCCCATTTCTATTGGGGCCTGACCCCACTAGGATGACCGATTCTGTGCCTTCCCTCTGAGAAACCTCCTTTGGCTTCTTTGTAGATGATCATTTGCATGTCTCTTCCCCATTAGAACTTGAATTCCTTGAGGGCTGAGATTATTTGTGCCTTTCTTTGCATCCTTAGCTCTCAGTACTGGCACATAATAAGTTCCTCATAAATGATTGTTGACTGCCTAAGTGACTAAGTCTGAACCCCAATCAACATTCCATCAGCTGCAAGAGAGTCATAGAATCTCAGAATAGAAGAGGGACCTCAAGTGTCATCATGTCCGATGCTTACCTGAACGGGAACCCTCTGGCAGAAAGAGGATTGGATTTAGTGGTGAATGCACTGGGTGTGAGCCAATCAATCAATCTGGTATTTAATAAACACCTACTATGTGCCTAGAACTGTGCTAGGTGCTGGACATGCAAACAATGAAGCAATCCCTACTTACAAAGAGCTGACGTTCTCATGAGGGAGACAAGTACATATAGAACTATTTGAAGTCAGGGGACCCGGGTTTGAATCTCTGTTCAGTTACCTGTAAGACTTGGGCAAGTCACTTAACTTAGAGTTCTAGGCCTCAGTAACTCATGTATAAAATGAGTAGGTTCCAGGTTTAAAGTTAGGAACCCCCAGAACTATGACCTGAGTTCGGATCTTGACTCTAACATTGACGGCCCATATGACCTTGGACAAACCACTCTCCTCTCAACAGCCTCATCTTCCTTGGACTTCTAACCACATCCCTGACAAGACTCCAGCTATCTATCCTCTGCTTGAAAGACCTCCATTGATGGGGAACTCACTACCTGTATGAAGGCAACCCATTTCAGATCTCCTGAGCAGGAGGGTTTTTCCTTCTGTTAAGCTGAAGACTTCCATTCTAGTGCTCCCACCCACTGACCCCCACTCTGCCCTCGGAGGCCATGCAGAACAAAGCTGATCCATCTTCATCAGGAGAGCCTTTTGGAGGTAAAGCTGTTGAATAGTTTGCTATTATCCCTTCAGTCAGTCCTCTGGGATGGGGGGACAGGAAGAAGATTCTTTTCCTCCACTTCCAAGAGGGTAAACTGAGGCTCAGGAGACAACCACATGCCCCTTGACAAGGATGAGAAACCCTAGATTTCATATAAACCCTGGCCAGTAGATCATAGAATCCGAGGGACCTTAGAATATCAAATGTCAGTTCTGGAAAGGCCCTAGAACCCAGACTACAGAACCTTAGAGCTGGAGAGAACTTAGGATGCAGCATTTCAGAGATGGAAGGGACCTTCCCATCTCATTTCCAGATGAAGAGACTCGGGCCCAGCCGAGTAGATGAAGTGGCTCCCAAGGTCACACAGCTACCCAGTGACAGAAATGGGAGGTGAATCCTGGACTTCTCATTCCCCTGCTCCCAAAACCTGAGCAGTCTTTGTTTCACTGCCTTAACAACCTGAAGTTACATTTACCCATCTGTAAAATGGGATCACACAAGGTTCGCAGATTTAGTCCAAACCCCTCATGTTACAGATGAGGAAACTGAGGCCTAAAGAAGGGAAATGACTTGTCCAAGGTCACCCAGGTAGAGCTGGGAGTCAGCCTCCCCCACGAGACCAAGTTCACTGCTCTTTCTATTGCATCATGCCACCTCCCTTTGAAGAAGTCATCCTTATGGGTGGCACAGTGTTAGAGCACTGGGCCTGGAGTGAGGAAGAGCTGAGTTCAAATCCAGATTCACTCAGCTATGTGACTATAGGCAAGTCACTTAGCCTGTGTTTGCCTCAGTTTCCTCATCTGTTAAATGGGGATAATAATAGCACCTACCTCCCAGGGTGGTTGTGGGAATCAGTGAGATCGTGTCTGCAAAGTGCTTTGTAAGCCTCAAAGTGCACTGTGAATGCTGCATGGCACAGATTTCTTACACTAGCCAATACCTGGCCTCTCCTGAAGCCTGGTTTCTTTTCACTCCACCTCACTCCCTTTGAAAGCCTCTGGATCGGTGGTCGGCCCCTCCCTGGCCATGCTGAGCTCAGCTCCTTCGTCTCCCAGCTCCGAGCAAAGGAAAACGCATGCATCCACAGCCGGGAGACTCGGGCTCGCCCCAGCTCTGCTACCATTTGCTGTCTGACCTGGGCAAGTTACCTTCCTGCTAAGTGACAGACTTGGAGGGAGGAAGACCTGAGTTTGAATCCCATGTCAGACACCAGCTGTGTGACCCTGGGCAAGTCGATTCATCTCACACAGCCTCAGTTTCCCCATCTGTAAAATAGGGGTGGTAGTAGCACCTACCTCACAGGGCTGCTGTGAGGGTCAAATCCAATTAAATAAAATACGTAAAGTGCTTTGTGCTATAGAAACATTAGCTACAAGTCACTCTTCTCTGAGACTCAGTTTCCCGCTCTGTAAAATGAGGGTAGGACAAGAAGACCTGTAAAGTCACTTCTACGTCTGTGTGAGCCCAGCCTGGCCTCGTCTCTGGGTCCAAGGAGCTCTCTCGGGGCAAAGCTCCTCCCAGCACCAAGTGAAGAAGGCTCAGATGCAGTCAGCTGCCCCTGCTTCCCCAAACTGCCCACACAGACACATGTCAAGGGATGCTGAGCAGCACTCAGAAGAGGTAGGAAATCCCTGACCAGCAGATGTGGCCTCAGCCCTCCTGAACACTCAGTCCCTCCCCTGCGTCTCTTCTCCATCCATGGGTCCCGGGGCAGGAGAGGTGGCTCCTGCTGGGAGTGAGTACCAACAGGTTACAGACCGGCCAGGTAACCTTGGGCAAGTCCCTTCATCTCTCGGGTGGGTCTAGAATCACAGAATGTCAGAGCTGGAAGAGTAAACCTAGACCAACCTTCTTGCTTTATAATCGGTGAGGAAGCTGGGGCCCAGACAGGTTAAGAGACTAACCCATGGTCACACAGCTCACTGGAGCAGAGCTCAGAGAGAAACCCAGGTCTTCTGAGTCCTAGCTCTTCACCATTTCCAGGATATTATCCCTGCTTCCCCTGGAAAGGCATGAAAATGTAATTAAAAGGGGGCAACTAGGTAGCGCAGTGGATAGAGCACCGGCCCTGGACTCAGGAGGACCTGAGTTCAAATTCGGCCTCAGATACATAACACTTACTAGCTGTGTGACCCTGGGCAAGTCACTTAACCCTGTTTGCCTTGCCAAAAAAAAAAAATGTAACTAAAAGGAAAGAGCCCACAGCATTTCTGTTCTGTACAATGAGTGGACTGGGCTGGCCATGTCTGACAACGAATAAATTGCCACCCTTTGTCAATGGTGCTCGCTCCTGGTCAGCCTTGTTCTTCTCCCAAGCCACCCCCTACCCCAGACTAGATACAACACTAAGCCACAAGTGGGTGCTGATGATCCATAAGGGGGCACCCCAATAATGGAGACGTCTAGATGGTGCCGTAGATAAAGCATTGAACTTGGGAGTCAGGAAGAACTGAGTTCAAATCCTACTCCAGATACTTACTAGCTGTAGGACACTGGACAAGTCACTTAACCTCTGTCTGTCTCATTTTCTCATCTTTAAAATGGAATAATAGCAACTACCTCACAGGGCTGCTGTGAGGATCAAATGATAATATTTTAAAATCTCTTCGCAAACTTTAAAGTGCTACATTTTTGTTTTGACTTGTTTTAGTCATTTTTAGTCGCCTCCAACTTTTCGTGACCCCATTTGGGCTTTTCTTGGCAAAGATACCGGAGTGGTTTGCCATTTCCTTCTCTAGCTCGTTCTACAGATGAGGAAACTGAGGCAAACAGGGTTAAGTGACTTGCCCAGGGTCACACAGCTAGTAAGTGTCGGAGGCCAGATTTGAACAAAGGAAGATGAGTCTTCCTGACTCCTTGCCCAGAAGTCTATGCACTGTGGCGCCCCCTAGCTGCCCTGAAGTGCTCTCAAAGTGCTAGCTATTATGTCTATGATGCTATGAACTTGATGTACTTGGGAAAGAAAAGAGTCAGGCTTCCCAAGGGGATGTAAGGTAGCCATGAGAAGGCAGGATGGAGAATCCCAACGTGGCTGAGCTGGAAGGGCCCTGAGAACACAGAACACGAGTGTCGGAGCTGAGAAGAACCTCAGACACTGAACCTAAGAACTGAAAGGGATTTAGCATCAGAGCTCCCCTTGTTTTCCAGATGGGGAGACTGAGTCACAAAGAGGGGAAGAGGCTTGTCCAGTCAGGTCATGACTGCAGGTCCCCTACAAAGAAGCCTATCATAGCTCCCCTCGAAGGTGGTGTTTTGTGTTTTCCTTTTCTCAAAAATAAACCAACAGGAACAAATATTTTTTGTGCTTTGGTACATTTCTGAGGCAGCCAAAAGAAAAGAAAAAAACAAAAACAAAGAAAAGGGGGAAATTCACAAGCCTGGGAAAAATCAATAAATATGTCACATTTAAAAGCTTTGGGCTGCTATACACAACATTTTATACACTGTAACTCGGGGCCAGGTGATGTCACAGGAATGATTCAAGGTCAGCCCCAAGAGCATTCTGGGACCCAGCAGGGAGGGCACAGGAGCTCCCACTACCCCTGTTTTCTTTTCTCAAGGGAGGCCTCTTCCCTAAGGTGGGTCTTTGGGCCCTCAAGCTCCATTCACTCCCAGGTGAGCCCCCCTGCCTCAATCACACATAGGGATCTCCTGGAGTCCAGCCTTGGGGGCAGGTGAGGGACTGACCGACCCACAGGGCTTCAATAAACAGAGGGGTTGGGTCTTTGGGGCTGGGGAGCCAGGATACCCGGGATGCTACAGTGGGGCACCTCTTCTCAGGCTTCAAAGGCAACTGAAGAAGAGACAATGAGCACCATAAGACTGGTCACAGGAGAGCCCGACTCCCTCCCCTGCCCTCCCCAGTGCCAATGGGCAAGGTCTGACCCCCCCAGCCCTCCTTTCACAGGCAGGGACCTTGAACATGGCTTATGGTCCTGGCTTCCTGGGGAGGGTGGGGGCCGTCAGAGCTGCCCTGGGACTGAACAGCAGCAGGAAGGAGAAAGGACTGTAGGTCTCCGGCAACGTGGCCGGTCAGTCCCGGGAGTGACGTCCAACAAGGCTCCGTTAGCACCTGAGAGAGTGAGTCCCCGTGGCTTGGGCCATCCCTGCTTTGAGGTATCTGGCCGAGGGTACTCACCAACGCACCTTCATCTTCTCTGCAGGCGTTTGCCCTTTCACTGCTCGAAATCTGCTTCCCTTTCACTCTGCTTTGACTCAATTGTTTTTTCTCTCCTGACTCCAACCCTCTAGAGAGCTACAAAGTGCCACAGTCCCAAATAATAATAATAATAACAATAATAACAATTACAATATCACTAAAAACAGCCTTCGCTCAGCCCTTTCCCAGTGTTCTTCTGAGTTCCCACGGGCAGTCAAAGACTGTGTAAACCTGGGTGGAGTGAGAAGATGGCAGACACCAGAGCTCATGTGATGGGAGATGTAGCTGGGAGGCCCTGGCCTTGGGGTTCTGGTCTTTTGCTGTCCCTCCTCCAATGTCCCTTTTCCCAAGAGGCAGAGGCCAGAGTGCTGTGGTCACTGGAAGACGGGGTAGGCACCTCAGTCCAGGAAGCAGGGAGCCACCAGGGGGCTGGGGCCCTGTCCCTTAGGGCTCCCCAACTTTGCTTTTGAGGAGCAAGCTGCCCTGAGTCACTGACGGGCTGGTGTCTGGTGGAGCTGGGGGCTCCGTGGAAGGATTGCTGGCATCTGGCTGTCGGTCAGCTCCCCTTCCATTCGGGGGCGCGGGCCAGGAGCCATAAGAAGGGTCTCGTTCATTACTGGAGAGGCCACGCTGGTCTCAGGACTCCGGAAGAAGGTTCCTGGTGTGGAGAGGAAGGGTGGCAGTGGGGTGGGGCTGGGGCCGGTCTGGGAATGGGGGTAGCCTCCTTCTTGCTGCAGGACTCACAGCACAGCTTGTTGTAGCCAGGGATAGAGCAGTAACGTGCTAGGACTTCCATCTGGCAGAAGATAGACTTGTCCCCCAGGCAGGGCTCCTCTGAAATCACAATCACAAGGAGAGGTCACGACAGAGTCCAGGACCCAGCGGATCTCTGCCTGTGACTAGGAGAGAGGGAAACTCAGAGAGCTAAGCTGGAGGGGACCTGAGAGGCCATTGGGTCCGGCCCCCTGGTTTTACAGGTGAGGAAACTGAGACCCATAAAGATGAAGCGACGTCCCCAAGGCACACAGTCGATTTGAACACTGTTTCTGTACGCTCCCCGAAAGGCCCAGCTCCTAGACGCCCAATCATGGGCAAAACACTTGACTTCTCAGGGCCTCAGTTTCCACACCTGTAAAACGAGGGGCAGGTGGATTAGAATGAGCCCGAGGTCCCTTCCAACCGTAACATCTGTGATCTGGTGAATGTTGACAAATAGCAATGAAGGCCAATAGCCACGAGATGGCACCAGAATTCCAGGTTTGGAATCAGACTTGAGGCTTCAGTCACTGCCAAGAAAGCTATGGAAACCTGAGAATCTAACAAACCTGCTCGTAGACCAGAGCTGGAGACACACGTGCACACACACACACACACACACACACACACACACACTCCGTACAGATAAGCAATAAGAGGGCAAGTGACGTGCCCAAGGTCACTCAACTAGTAAGGAGCTGAGTCGGTCAACAAGCATTTAGTAAGCTCCTACTGCATACACACCAGGATACAAAGAAAGGGAAAAGACAGCCGCAGCTCTCAGAGCTTTGGACTGGAATCCAGCCCTTCCCGACTCGAAGGTCCACTATGTCAGGCTGCCTCTAGTGCTAAGGAAAAGGAGATTGGCTTACTCGATGATATCTTGTTGACAGGGTTGGGGGGCCCAGTCCGAGGGGCCCACTGGCCTTTGGGGGTCACACGCTCACTGGTCTCCATCTTTGCCGTGATGCTCGGGCGCTTACCTATGTTGGAGGAGACGTGGACCAGGTCAGGGGATGTGGGAATCTAAGAGCCATTCTTGGGGCTGTCCATGGGGGGGTTGCCCCTTTGAGGTCCCGGGGCTTCTAATTCAGAACGGAATGCCGGGTGCCCCTCCCAGCAGGCGCTGCCTCTGACCCCCACTCACCAGGGCAGGCAGGCAGGCTGCAGACTTGGACGGTCTCGGGCTTGTCCCCCTCACACCGGCCCATGCTGTTATCGCCGGTCTTGCAAACCACCTGGCGCTGCTGGATCCCTTCCCCACACGGGGCTGAGCACTGCGCCCAGGCCGGGCAGGAGCGGTCACCCGTGAGAACGGTGAAGAAAGAGAGGAGAAGGAGAGGGAAGCAGGGGATGAATGAGCCATGAGCCCCAGCCACAGCAGCCCCAAGGGCCCAGGTTCGACAAATGATACCGTCAAGTCACAAGTCTTCCTTCCCCTTTCAGTCCCCCGTCTGCCCTGTACTCATCCGCTGTGTGCCTAGTCACCGACGTATTGTCTCCCCCTATAGACTGTGAGCTCCTTGAGGGCAGGAACTGGTTTTGCCATTCCTGCTCCGAAAGCTTGATGATTTCCCATAGCTTCTAGGACACATCAACTTCTCTGTCTGGCATTTGACCGCTCACAATCTGACTCCAATTTACTGATTACATCTCACTCTATATTCCAATTCATCCCCTAACTCCAGACCCAGCTCCCTGTCCCCTGTACCATAAGATGTGCGCCCTGGGTTTCGACAGAACAGATTCCAAAGGGTTTGGAGAAAGACTAGGTAGGCTCTAATGGTCGGAGTCCCTGCAGAGGACGGCAGCCCAAGAGGGATGGGAAGGTCCCCAGAAAGAAATTCTAAAGAAACAAACAGCAATGATTCCTACGAGGGGGAGAGGAGCCATGTGGCTGCACAGCGTGCTCGTTGGTGGCCACGTTGGAATCTGAAGGACACGTACTAGGGATGAGAGCCAAGGCGGTAGAAGAGGCTGACTACAAAAGCAAAACATCCAGAACGACCAGGGGAGATCTTCAGATGCCGATCAGGCTCATTTGAAGACCCTGGCTTGGTTTCCCTCTTGCTAGAGAAGCAGGGTCCAAAGGAGGGAGAATAATGATGAGAAAGAAGAGGTTCAGCCAGAAGGAAATAGTGGACTTCACAGCAATATTCCTGCCCCTACCCTCCTCCCCCCACCCCACCATGGCCTTACTTACAGGCCCATCAAGACACGTCTTCCCCAGTGTCTGAAGACAGACTCACCTGAGACCAGGCTCCCATTCTCCACTGGGCCGGGCAGGGCACTCGGTGGCAGGGTCTCCGGGCCTCAGGCCGATCGCCAGGGCAGGACTTGATATGCACGGCCCGGCTGGTGCCATTGTGCAGGGTCTGGAGGCACTGGACTGCCCGAGTCTGCACCCCCAGCTTTCCACAGCTCTTGCTACAGGGACTCCACTCTTCAGCTACCCACCTGAGAAAGGAGAGAGGGAGAGTGGGATAACCGTGGTCAGGAAGGAGTCACAAGGTGGGATGTGCTGGGACAAGGGCAGGGTGTCTTACTCCAGAGTAGAGAGATCATTTCCATTTTTGTCCTCATATCCCCAGTGCCCAGCACAGTGTTTCAAATACAGTAAGTGCCTCATAAATGCTGACTGGTTAAATGACTGATTGATCACACCCCTCACTTCAGTTCCAAAGGATTATGGGATGCAGTAGAAGAAATATCTGAAGATCTGGGTTCTACTTAGGGCTACTTGTTCAACTTCTCTATCCCTAAATGGCCTCGTCTGGAAAACGATAGGAGATCCAGCAAGAGAGACAGACAGAGACAGAGAGAGAGAAAGGAGAAAGAGAGACAAAGAGAAATAGACAGAGAGAGACAGAGAGATGGGGAGAGACAGACAGAGAGACAGAGAACAAAAGAGACAGAGAGACAGAAACCAAAAGAGAGAGAACAAGAGAGAGAGACAGAGACACAGAGAGAGAGGGAGAGAGAGAGAGCGCGTGCACAAGCCAGCCTTGGACTTAGAAAAGCTGAGGTTAACGTTTCACCTCTGAGATGTACTGTCAGTGTGACCCTGGACGAGGCACTGCCTTCCAACCAAGCCCCCAAGTAAGTAAGCTGATAAGGCGGCAGAGCAGGTGGCTATCTGCATTGGTGGAGGGAGTTTCCTCACCAATGAAACCACAGGCCCAGGCCCAAAAGGAAAAGGGAGCGAAGCCTGTCTAGCATAGATTTAGAAGGGTGTTATAGAGGAACTGGTCCCTTCAGCTCTCAACAAATTATAAGCATCTATGAAATGAGAGTTTATATTAGGTGATCTCTAAGGTCCCATCCAGACCCGACGTGCTGTGATCTATGTTCTATCATTGACATCCGGGGTTTTCAGCAGGAGTATGCTAGTAAATGTTTAACAACCAGCTCTCCAGAAGTACACAACATGCTTTTAAGTTTCATTTGCATTACCATTTTCTCCATCACCTTCAAGAGAGAATTCTCTAGACAAGAAACAAAACAATAAATTGAGTCCTTATTGAGGCATTTGCTTGGTTTTTTGAGGAGTGAATGCTCACACTGAAAGCTGGACAATCAGCTTGTGCCAGTGAGAGCTCACCCCAGCACACCCCTGCTGCTAAGTGTTGAATGGGGGCCACCCCCTCTCCCTCTAAGCCTCCAGTGCCTGGGGCTCAGAGATCTACCCTCCCCCTCATCCCTTGTGGAGATTTAATTTGAATACCCTAGTTCACTTGTTCCAGAGGAAGATGAGAAAGAGAAAAGGAAAGCCCAAGAGAGCAGGAGTTTCTCCTGGAACCCCAAAAGACTCAGTGGAAAATACAAATCCAGGGCAGCTAGGTGGTCCCGTGGATAGAGCATGGGCACTGGAGTCAGCAGGACCTAAGTTCAAATCCTTCTTCAGATACTTGACACATACTGTGTGACCCTGGGAAAGTCACTTAACCCTGATTGTGAAAGAAAGAGAGAGAGAGAGAGAGAGGAGAGGAAAGAAAGAAAGAGAGAGAGAGAGAGAGAGAGAGAGAGAGAGAAGAGAGAGAGAGAGAGGAAAGAAAGAAGAAGAAAGAAAGAGAAGAAAGAAAAGAAAGAAGAAAGAAAGAAAAAAGAAAGAAAGAAAGAAAGAAAGGAAGGAAGAAAGGAAGGAAGGAAGGAAGGAAGGAAGGGAGAGAGAGAGAAAGGAAGGAAGGAAGGAAGGAAGGAAGGAAGAGGAAGAAAGAGAGAAAGAAAGAAAGAAAGAAAAGGAAAAGAAAGAAAAGAAAAGAAAAGAAAAGAAAAGAAAAGAAAAGAAAAGAAAAGAAAAGAAAAGAAAAGAAAAGAAAAGAAAAGAAAAGAAAAGAAAAAAAGAAAGATACAAATGCAAGCAGGATGCCAAAGCTTAGGCCCTGGGGGAGGGGGAGCCAAAGGGGTCACCTCACCCTGAGCTGCCCCTAAGCGCTCCTAGCTCACCTCAGCCTCTTGCCTCTTGGAATCTCAACCTTCCTTCAAAGCTCTACCCACACATCAGCTTCTGCATGAAATCTTGTCCAGTCTCCCCAGATGCTTGTCCCTTTCCCATAACGTTCTATAGGATCTATTTTGATTCCACCCATTGTCTTCCTATCTGGAATGGAAGCTCCCTGAGGGCAGGGATTCTTCCAGTTTGTCTTTGTAACTCCAGTGCCTACCATGATGCCTGGCATGGAGGAAGGGTTTTTAAACAAATGGTCACTGACTGATTGATTGAATGAGTAGAAAACAGAGACCTGCTGAGCAGGCCAAGAGAGGAGCATGCCCACAGGCCCCTGAGGTTGCCATTGGTCTGGATGTTGGGGCCACTGAGGCCGCTGACCCTTCCTCCAGGTGTGAAAGTGCTGTCTAGTTTCTCAGCTGTGGTTCTGGGGTGATCTCTCCACCCACCGGCTGGTCATGAGACCGCGAAGTTGTAGATTAAGAAACGGCCTTAGAAGCTCTCTAGCCCAACTCCCTCATTTTACATATGAGGAAACTGAGTCCCATAGAAGTTAAATGACTCACCCAGGGTCACACAGCTGGTGTGGGTGGTGGGATCTGCCCCCAAGTCTTTCTGACTCCAACTCCAGTATCCTGCGCCCTAGGCAGCCCCTTATCTAGATGCTATGATTGATGGCTTAAACTGAGCTTGCAGTCCACCAAGGCCTCAGGCCTTTTTTCACATCCAGTGCAGTCTAGCTAGACCTTCCTCCCATGAGAACTTTTTGGAGGCACATCATCCTTGGTGGATGCATCAGGCTTAGCAGAAGAGAGAGAAAGGATGAGTGGAGAGGAAGGAAAGCCCCGCACTGGGGCTGCCACTCACGAGGGCTGGGCACACTCCTGCTGGCTGCAGCGTCTCCGGATGGGCTTGGGCTTCTTCTGGTGGTCACAGAAGTGACGGTGCACCATGCGATGGACGCTCCGCTGCCGGCAGCCGTACTTGGCGTATTGGACACCTGCAGGAGGCAGAGACAGGCCCAGGGAAGGGGCTCCAGACGGCTTGAGGAGTCCGTTCCCATGGGGTGGACTGTGTCCAGGGTGAAGCAGGTCAGACTCTCCCCTACTGCCAGGCTCCTGGGCGCAAGCCTCCTCTAATTCCGTGCCTAGCACAGTTCCTGGCACAGTTAACTCATTGCTTCCCCATTCCTTTCCTCTTTATCCACTTGCTTCCTGCCCTCAGCCTTGCCTCCCTGAGAGTCACTCCTTCCAGGAAGCCCAACCTCTCCCCCACCCTCCCGTTAGCCTTATCACAGATTAATCTTGTATGCAATGTTCCATCCTCTTGGTCTTTGCCCAGGCTGTGCCCTGTGCCTGGGATGCACTCTGTCCTTACTTCACCAACCTAGAATCCCTGGCTTCCTTCAGAGTATGGCTCAGATGCCCTCTGCTCTGTGAGACCTTGACAGATTCCTCCCTGACCTGTCTTTCTGAATTCTAAGAAGCTTGAGGGCAGGCACCATGTCCCATTGAAGGCCAAACATGGCATCCTGCATGTTTGTGCATTCCTGCTAACTTCCTGTTTTCTTCCCATCACCCTGGGCTGCTTCTCAAAGATCTTTAGAAGGGCAGGGGCAGGAAGAGCTGCAGGCTCCAGCTCCCTTTTGGCCGGATGGGGCAAGGAGGCTATATCTGTGATGTCATTGATATAGAAAACTCTGTCTCAGCTCTAAGTGACTGACCCAAGATCACACAGCCTCACACCAGACAATATGTACAGGACAGACCCCAGGTCTTCCTGACTCTGAAGTCAGTGCTGTCAACCACACCCCCGGGTCGCGGCACATATTTAGGGTTTGTTGAATCCAGCTTTACCTCATCTTTCTCTCATCCCCACAGTCTGCTCTGAGCTAAAATGACCTGTTTACTCTGATGCCCAAACCTGCCCTGAGCTGTTCCAGATGACCTTGAGTCAGCTGGCTCCCTAAGCACAGGACGCCCAGCCTCCCAGGGTAGTGGGTAAAGCATCAGCCACGAGAGGACTACCATGCAAACCCAGCACAGTTACTATGTGTGTGACCTTGGGCAAGTCACTGAGACTTGGGGCCTCAGTTTCATCAGCTGTAAAATGGGTGGGCTTAGCCTGAATGATCTCTCGAGTGCTTCCTGCCCTTCATCTGTATGATTTGTCCCACCCCTCTAAAGCCCAACTCAGATGCTGTCTCCCCCAGGAAGCCCACCCTGATCCTCCCCCTGCCCCCAGACTGCAGAGAACACTTTGCTTTGCTTCTCTCTCACTCTGCCTTCTGGGCTGGAAGCCCCACGAGGGCAGGGCTCGTGGCATGTCTACACTGTTTCTCCCCCAGCGCAGAGCTGGGTCCTGGGCCACTGTGGCTCGCCTGAACAGCAGACGCACCTCCTCCACAGGTTTTCGAGCACGGGGACCAGCTCTTGAGGGCCCACTCGAAGGACTCGGTCTCTTCCAGGAGCACATCATTGCTCTCTATGAGGGGCAGCAGGTCCTCGTGGATGACATACTTGTATATCAGGCCGCTCCTGGAGTCGCTGTCCCCTTGGGAGACGACCTAGGGTTGGGAGGTGTTGCAAGGGGTAGTGTGGAGACCGCTGGACTCGGAGGCAGGAGACCTGAGATTGAGTCCCAGCTCTGCCACTCACTAGCTGGGTGACCTTGGGCAAGTCACAGCACTTCTCTGGGCCTCAGTTTCCCCATCTGTAAAATGGTGATGATAACACTCGCACTGCCTACCTCACTGACTTATTGTGAGGGGTCTGGGGAGGGGGTGGTGGGAACCCCCCCATGCCACCCCTCAATCAAAGGAGGCCCCCTCCCTCTGGCATTCCTACACGTGGCCCCCAACCAGATCTGGAGGTGGGGAGGAGCCCGAGGGCTCAGTACACCAGGGCTTTAACTCCAGCTTTGCTACCTGCTAACCCTGGACAAGGCAGCTCCCCTCGAGGCGACACTAAGTCTTCAGAGGTCCCTTCTATCTCTGAGGTTCTATGTTCTACGTTCTAGGGTCTCTTCCAACTCTAACACTGTATAATCTAAAGTCCCCCCTAGTTCCAATGTTCTATGTCCTAAGGTCCCTTCCAACTCTGACCCTCTATGCTCCAAGGTCCCTCCCAGTTCCAACATTCTATGTTCTATGTTCTAAGGTCTCTTCCAACTCTGGCCTTCTATGCTCCAAGGTCCCTCCCAGTTCCAATGTTCTATGTTCTAAGGTCTCTTCCAACTCCAATACTCTATAATCTAAGATCCCTTCCAGCTCTGATGTTCTATGTTCTATGTTCTATGTTCTAGGGTCTCTTCCAACTCTGACCTTCTGTCTTTAAGGTCCCTTCCAGGTCTAATGTTCTATAATCTAAGGTTCCTTCCAACCCCAATGTTCTATGTTCTACATTCTAGGGTCTCCTCTAATTCTGATGCTCTGTAATCTAAGGTCCCTCCCAATTCCAATGTTCTATATTCTAAGGTCTCTTCCTACTCTGATGTTCTATGCTCTAAGGTCCTTCCCAGTTCTGATGTTCTATGTTCTACGTTCTAAGGTCTCTTCTAACTCTGATGTTCTATGTTCTAAGGTCTCTTCCAACTTTGACCTTCTATACCCTAAGGTCTCTCCCACTTTGATATTCCATATTCTACATTCTAAGGTCTCTTCCAATTCTGACATTCTATGTTCTAAGGTTCCTTCCAGCTCTCATGTTCTATGCTCTCAGGTCCTTTCCAGTTTTGATGTTCTAAGTTCTAAGTAACCTCCCAGCTCTGGCGTTCTACGCTCTATGTTCTAAGGTCCATTTTAGTTCTGACATTTGGTGAGTTTGTGATTCAAGGACTGCCCAGACCTCCCCCACCCTTACCTTTCTGTTGTGAAGAGTTAGAGAATCGTTCTTCCCCTTCTCTCTAACTCTCAGATTTAGAGCTGGAATGGACTTATTCAGTCCAAATGCCTTCTTTTATATCAAGGGAAACAGGCCCAGGGAGGAAGCAGGAATCCCTCAAGCTCACAGTGCTAGTCAGTGGCAAGGCTGGGCCTGGAACCAGGGCCACTGATGTTTGGCTATTTAAATAGCACATCCAGAGGTCTTTGGCCATGGTTTGGGATCATGAAGGTCCACCGTGAGATGGAAGGGGCTCTGGCCTCATCCCAGATGTCAACTGACACAAGAATCGGTGGTTTCACGAGTGTTCTCCTATGCTGCTAACCATCTTCCCAGCTGGCTGGAGGAAAGAAGGATGGGGGCAGGGTGGGACAGAAGGAGGGGTGGAAGGGAGAAGGGGATTCCTAGAATGCAGAAAGCCATCTTGCGGCCGGCTGCTTGCTCTTAGAGCCCATGGCCAGGGTCTGGGCACTCTGATCCATCTCCTGGCTCTCGGCCCAGTACGGAGTGGAAGGCAGAGATGGGGGGCAGGGTTAGAAGGCCATCAAAGGGAACTTACCAGGACAGTGATGGCCTCAGGCAGAGGGCCGCTGGTCTTCAGAGCTTCTTTTGAGTCTTCCACACTATACTCCCATTCCAAGCCCATCTCAATGAAGGTTCTGTTCTCAGCATCCTTGCCCTTGGGGTTGAGGATGAAGTTCCCAGTGGCCTTCTTCTTCACCACTATCGGGGATGGAAGGTCATTGGGTTAGTTTAATTCAAGGAACATTCATTAAGAACCTACTAGGTGTAAGGCTCTGCTGGATGCTGGGGATACAATGGCCCAACCGATAAGGCCCCTGCCCTGAAGAAGCTTACATTCTCCCACAAGCTCCCAGAGAAGGAAATACTGGGGGTCTCTAGGAGATGCCCCCCCCATTCTGCACCTTGGAGAAAGGCAAGGATGGACGAGGTTGATTTGAGGAGGAAGACCATTCACTCCAGCTTCCCATTAACTAACCTTTGGGTGACTTTAGGCAAGCCACTTCCCTCTCTGGGCCTCAGCTCTCACATCAATAAAATGGGGGTAATGATCTCCAAACCAACCACTTTTCCTACGAAGCCTTTCCTGATTTCCCCAATGACTAGTGCCTCCCTCTCAAACTAGCCTGGATCTAACTATTTTCTATGTGTACGCATCTATATGTGCATGTATGTGCATATGTGTGTACACACATTACATAACATACATACACACACAATACACACACACACACACACATATATATATAACAGAGAGAGAGAGAGAGAGAGTCCCGAAAGTCTTAGTGAAGTTTTAAGATTTAATAAGCTTTAGCAAACTTATTATTTAACAAGCTTAAAATTGTGCTAGGACCTTTGAGTTACTCTGTGTGTATATGTACACACACACATACACACATGTATATGAATGTAAAGAGAGAGTTAGTAATATATTTATGCTTTATATATATACATCTATACATATACATACATATACATATATACACAGACATATGTATATATAATATATATATATATCCATATATATTTCATATATATATGCATATATATTTTATACACACACATAGATAAATGTATCTCCTTATTGTCTCCCCCATTGGAATGTGAGCTAACAGTGATTCATTCTTGTACAACACCCAGCTCAGTGCCTGGAACGCAGTAGGTGCTTTAAAAATACTTGCTTCAGTTTCCTTGTCTGTAAAATGGGGATAATAACAGCACCGACCTCTCAAAGTTTCTATGATGATCAGATGAGATACTGTAAAGTGCCTGGCACATAGTAAGTACCATATAACTGTTAGCTATTATTATTATCATTATTAACACTACCGATGGTCTGGGGCTCCTTCTCTAGTTCTTCGATCTGAATGTGCCTGGCTCCAGCCGGGATGTGGAACAGTTTGAGAGAACCTGAGTGGATGGAGAGAACAGGGAGATGTCAGTACTCTTCCTACGGTGAAGGTCTCGACCAGGAGCCATTGAAGGAGTACAGAGATGATGCTTTAGCTGCATAGGGAAAGGTGAATGATGGCGAGGTACCATCTTAGAGGGGCTGGCACCCAGGAGGCATCTGTAGAGGGCAGAGGTGCCAGGGAGTAGAACAGGAGGGGGTGGAGAACTGAGTCAGCAGCACAGAATTGCACTGGTTGCCATTCCGGGTCCTGCTTCCAGCATTCCATGGGACCTCTGGCCTGTCCCTTCCTTCTCCAGGCCTCAGTTTCCTCATCCGTAAAATGAGGGAGTCAGACTCAATAATTGCTACAGTCCCTTCCACGACCACTATTCCAGCAGGAATTGTTCCTATCAGCCCAGTTTCTGGTACATAGTGGCAGGAAGAATGGGTATGCAAGGGTCTGAAACTTGGGCATCTCAAAGACCTGAACAGCCTTTGATGATTTCTTTCCTCCTTCACTGACCACATTCCTCCCTCGCCTTGCTCAGTCTGACTGCCCCCCGTCCCTTCAGAGTCACCCCCAGGCCCAGCTGAAGCTCACCTGGCTGCTTGGGGGACTTGGCCAGGGTGCCCTTCACCGTCCGGCAGTGGGAGTTGTCTCCCCCACACACACCACACTTGTCGTCTTGCTTCATGGACCCGACCTCCTTGTCACACCCAACAGGCTGTTGGCAAAGGCAGAGTCAGCAGCAACCAGGCGGCATTTGGAACCTAAATCTTTCCTTGTCCCCCCGGATCTGGGGTTCTGGGATTCTGGGTGCTGAGAATCACCCAGGGTTTAGATAATCTCTAATCATTAATTGAAGTGTTGATTCTCTGGAAATCCAAGTCTTGTCCAGAGACTAGCTAATGGGCACTCTCCCATAGGAGGTAAATACCTCTCTCTGCTCCACAGACAAGGCATGCCTTTCTCAGAAGCAAAGTCCAGGGGGAGGCAGTCACGTGGTTTGATATGGAAATGAACTGATTAATTTAACTTTACTGATCTCACAGGATTATGGGGGAAAGTGCCATGAGATTTCCACCAAGTCCAGTAGAAATGTGATTCAAGGGATGTTGATACATTTTTAACAGCTGGCTCTCCAGGGAGACACACTTTTAAGTTGATTAAAGTTCATTCTTAAGATTTTCTCTATCACTCCCTTAAAGTCTAGACAATCAATGCAACAATAAATCAGGCCCTGGTTTGTGGTGTTTGCTGATTTCCCAGGCGTAAATATACCCAATGAAAATTTCACCATCGGCTCTCCCAAGCCTGTCTGAGCTGGCTCCAGCACCCTCCTTATCAAATCTCCTCTCCATCCCCTCTTTCAGCTTCTTTTTATGTGTTGTCTATTCCCGTTAGATTGTAAGCTCCTTGAGGACACAATGTCGTATGCCTTTTTTTGTATCCCCAGCACTTAGCACAGTGCCTGGCACATGGTAGGCACTTAATAAATGCTTATTGACTATTTATTGATTCAGAATAATAACTCTGAACATTGATGGATACACCAGTAAACCAGTAATCTCATCCTTCAGCAGTATAGACAGAAACCCTTCCTCGCCTTCTCGTAGAACAGATGAAGAGCCAGGAGAGACCTTAGAGACTGCCATATCCCATTTCCTCATTTTACCCAGAAGGAAACTCAAGCTTGAGAGGTTAGATTGTTTGTCCAAGGTATTTAGTGGCAAAGTAGAGATTCAAACCCAAGCCCTCTGACTCAATACCCACTGCTCTTTCTACTGCTTCTCCTCAGTAACTCGTCTGTGTCCCCCTCCAAATTCTCCTTGGGAATCTGCCCAATAAGAAAGCCAAGGAACTTCTCCATCTCTTACCATTACATGGACACCTGTACAGCACACAGACCATCCAATGGTTATCTCTCATACTTTTTATGTGAGTGATTCACCTTCTTCATTTCCAGGCCTACAAGCCCTGTGATATCAACTCCAAGAAGATCAAGACTGACATGCCCAGTTCTTCCATCAGCATGCCCACTTGCTATTCAATGGACAAGGTCTCACATCTCAAGCATCAACACTTAGGTTAATGATTACCGACATCCAAGCCTTGTGTGATTCTTAGCGCCCAGAATCACAGAATGTGAGAGTTAGAAGGGCCTTCCCCAGCCATCTAGTACAACCTACACACCAACCAAATGGCTGTTCAATCCTAGTGCCCCTTCTCTTTTGGTCTTAAGCTCATGCTCTTTGCTTTTACATCACAGTTATTCCTCGATATACTTTCCCCAGCCCAGCCACTACCCAGTAAGCCTTGCTTTGTACCAAAGAAAACAGCCAAGCAAAACCAGCTGACTCAGTCCTTGGTCCAATAGTATGAGCAACATTCCACACTCATAGCTCCCCACCTCTCCAAGGAAAGGAGAGAAATGCATTTTCTCATCTCATCTCTGGGGCTAGAGTTCCTCGGCCCCCTTTTCCATCCCTTGATTGCACTCTTGATGCAAAGGCAGATATAGAACTGAGGGCCATTTTTCTCTGTCACGGCCACCATGGCCGAAGAATTAATTCATCACCAAGTGGCCAACAGATTGATGATGATCCCCTCCATACTCAACCACTGTGGTCCTTGACCCTCATCAGACAGCATCAGATATAATCAGGAGCTACGGACCAGACTTTCCATTTCATGAGAAATGTTCTAGAAATGATGTGGGTAGGGATCATTTCATCCTTTGTGCTTGTATTTGCAGGGCCTGGCTCATGGCAGGTACTTAATAAATACTACTTGACTGATTGATTGACTTATATCACGTTGTTGTTCAGTCATGTCCAACTCTTCGTGGCCCCATTTGGGGTTTTCTTGGCGAAGATATTAGAGTGGTTTGCCATGTCTTCTCCAGCTCAGTTTACAGATGAGGAAACTGAGGCAAGCAGTGAAGTGACTTGCCCAGAGTCACACAGCTAGGCCAGATTTGGACTTCCTGACTCCAGGGCTGGTGCTCTTTCCACTGCACCACCTGGTTGCCCCTACATCATGGCAGAACCTGACAAAACTTGGGCTATGCTCTGCCGGCCAAAGCTTTCCGAAATCCAGGTTCACTTCCACACCACATGGGAGTAGGACTTTGTGGAAGGCAAAAGCAAGAATTGAATTAAATTTAATGCTTCCTAATAATCTAGGGCTTTATGGTTTACAAAGCACCTTCTTCACAAAAGTCCTTGAAGGTAAGGAGTGTACTGTGATGCTCATTTCACAGAGAAGGAAATGGAGGTTCAATGAGGTAGGCTCTAAGCTCCCCAAAGGCAGAGATCATCAATCAATCATTCAATCAATGAGCGTTGTGCTTCCAAAAGCCTTCTTGTTGTCAGAACTGAGAGCCCTGCCTTCCTCAGTGCACTGGACTGGAAGTCAAATGTACTTCCTCTTGTGTCATTAACCCACTTGGGTGACCTTGGGTAAGTCACTTGGTCTCTAAAATTCTAGGATCATTTTCTGTGTGTCTCGAGGATCCATGATGTCATAAGTGTGGATCTCCCCTCCCTCCACTATGCAGACCCCAACCTTGCCATACCTTAAGAGGTCATTGTCATAAGTTCAATGGTGGTCGAAAAAAGTCATCACAAAAAAGAGGTATGTAACTCTGGCCCTGGTGAGTAGTGAGCCCTGCAGTGAGCCAGGCTGGTTGTTAGAGGAAAAACATTAATCCTTCACTGGGCTATCCTAGAAGGCCTGACAGGCCTCTGGAGGACCTTAGACATCTCCACCCAACAATAAGGCATCCAAGGAGGGCTAAAATTCAGGCTGCCCATCAAACAGGCCTCTCCTTCCAGGCAAAGTAATGGCCTGGTCCCAAGGCGGGGTACCTACCACACACTCTCCTCGGGCACATACACTGTAAGGGTCCCTGTAGCTGCACCTGGTGCCATCATGGACAACTTGGTTCATAAATACCACATCCCCAGTGTCTTCAGACTGGCAAATCAATTCACATTTCTGGGCCTCTGCCAGGAGAATAGGATGCATACAATTAGAAAACACAACAAGGTTTCCAAGATGTTTTCCAAGAAATCAGTAATGAAGAATGGATTGTCCCCATTTGAAAGGGGAGGTGACTGGGGCACAGAGATGTCAAGGGGTGTATCTGAGATCACACAGCTAGTATATGCTAGAGCTGAGTTCTTCTGATTCCAAGTTCAGGGTTCATTCTGCTGCTCCTCACTGATCAGGAATCATCATTCAACAAGCATTTATTGAGTGCCTACTATGTGCCAGGTCAGTGAGAAAGTAAGTGATTTATCCAAGGACATCTCTCTCCCCCCCCCACTCTCACCTAGCACATTTCATGACTTAGAGCTGGGAAGGATTACAGAATCCCAGATCTGGAGGTAGGAGGGACCCCAAAGGCCATGGAGCCCAAGCCCCTCAATTCCTAGATAAGGAAATGGACATCAAAGATCACACTAATAGTAAGAGGTGGAGTCATGTTTGAAGCCAGCTTTCATGACTAGAAGTCAATTGTACCATGAGCTCTCCATCACAAGAAGAATTCAATGAGAGGCCGGAGAACTCGTTATTAAGGTGTTGACAGATAAGATTCCTGTATTGGGCAAGGGGTTGGATTTTGTGACCTTTAAGGTGCCTCCCCAGTCTGAGATGCTTTGATTCTATGTATCCCAGCACTTCACAGCTGGAGCAGCGATGGTCCCTCACTCCACTCCCCCAGACTCAAATCACTAACCTGTCTAAGTAAGTTCACTACTGAGTACTGTACTAAACTGAGAAGGTTTGGGAAAGCTGTATCTGAGAGGTCCCTGCTAAACCCTGTGAGCGGCAGCAAGTCAAATGGGGAGGGGGGTGGATTAGAAGGAAGGAGGAAGGGGTCAAGCTCACCATCATCATGCTCATAGGGGATCCAGCTATGCTGAGCATTCTTGTGGGTATAGTAGGAATTGCGCTTGGCACACTGCTGGGCTCGGAAGTCCTCGTAGGGGCCCCCGCACTCCTCTGTGTTGCAGATCTGATATTCATACATGGAGCCTGGGCACTGGCGGCCTCCGTAGGCTGGGCTGGAGGAGGAAACATAAGGCCTGAGGACTGCCAGATCATCCCAGTGAGTTGGGGGGCACCTCAGAGATCACCTAGTACACCTAGCTCTTCATTTTACAGAATTGGAAACTGAGGCCCAAAGCGGAGGAGGGACTTGACACAATAGCACAAGTTTCAGAGCTGGAGTCTGTCCCTTATTCTTCTGACTCCAAACCCGGGGCCCTTTCCACTATAACACCTGTCTGATCTCTCAATCAGCCCATTGCAGGGGGAAGGGGCCTCCTCCAAGTCTCTCCAGGAGCACTTTTTTTTCATTAACCTATTTTATAAAAAGCTGTTTTATATTCACAGTTGGGGCAGCGATGGTCCAAGCTCCTATCCCCTCACTCCCCTCTCCTCCCCCAGACTCAGATCACTGGCTGGTCTATGTGAATTCACTACTGGGGAATGGCCACACTGAGACAGTTCAGGAGAGCTGTGTCTGAGACCATCTTCTCTGAGAAGTCCCTGCTAGACCCTGGGAATTACAGAAAGCCAAATAGGGGGAAGAGGCTTTACAGATGGGTAGAAAATATAAGGCAGGGAATTTGACCTCATCATAAAGAATTATCCAACATTCAGATCCAGCCAACAGTGTAATGGACTGCCTTTGAAAGCAATGAGTTCCCCATCACTGAAAGTGTTTAAATGATGATTGACAACCATGTTGGGAAGGATCCCTAACACTGAATTGTAAACTGGAATACAGGACATCGAAGGTCCCTCATAACTCTTTGATGTTAAGATCCTATGATTCAAAGATGACATAATGCAGTAGAAAGAGCACAAAGCAGAGGACATGGGTTCCAATCCCACCTTTGCCTCTTGGTACCTGTGTAACCTCAGGAAAGTCACTTACCCCCTTTGAGCCTCAGTTTCCTCATCTGTAAAGTGGGGTGGGTGGGTTAGATAGCCACTAAGGTCCCATCCAGCTCTACAGCTATAAACCTAAGCGCTCCCAGGTGATCATCAAGAACTAAGCAATGGGGGGCAGCTAGGTGGTGCAGTGGATAGAGCACCAGCCCTGAAGTCAGGAGGACCTGAGTTCAAATCCGGCCTCAAATCCGGCCTCAGACACATAACACTCACTAGCTGTGTGACTCTGGGCAGGTCACTTAACCCCAGTTGCCCTCACAAAAAAAAAAAAAAACCAAGAACTAAGCAATGGTTGAGGCCTGCTGCCCTCTCAGAGTAGAGAGATTCCGAATCTCTGAGGGCTCCATCTAAAGAAATGGAATTGCTTTGAGAGGTCACACCTCTCTGGACCTCAGGTGGGTGCCCCCTCCCTGTGAAAGCCATCGGAAATTATGACAGCTGACGCTTTGCCGGTGCTTTCTCCATAGCAACTCTTTGAGGCAGGAATAGCCAGGATTATTATCCCCATTTTAGAGATAAGAAAACTGAGAAGCAGAAAGGAACAGAGACAGACCCAAGATCACACAGCTTATAAATGTCTGAGCCAGGATTTAGATGGAGGGTTTGGGGCTGCAAGCGAGGCTGACACTCAGGAACGAGGCAGGGGTATTCAGCCTGGAAAGATAAAGGCTGATAAAGAGTAAGCTAGAAGCCTACATAACCATGAAGTAGGATGGAGAGAAAAGCAGGGAGGACTTCATGGCCAAGTCCACATATCCTGAAAGGAGGGGAAGTTTAGGGCAAAGAAAAGCATGGCCAGCTTCATGGAGGGAGTAGGTAAATAGCTCCCCAAACCAATTTCCTTGTGAAGTAGCCTGTGATGAAAAAATGATGGTGGTCAAGGGGGATTTGATAAATTCATGGACAACAGATCCCAAAGTGGATTTTGTATAAAAGGCCATTGGGAGGTACATCCTTGGCCTTTAAAGATATCTGGGCACTCCCATATCATGTTGTCACCTTGTCTGAGACTAAATCCTAGGCTGCAATGATGACTGGTCAGTTTCCTTGGTCTTTCCATATCTATTTGACCTATTCATTCACTGACCCATGCATTCATTCAACAGTTATGAAGTGTAAGCCACATCATAGGAAAATTCAAGACCTAGAATATCTGAATTGGGAGGGACTTCAGAACACAGAGGGTGAAAGCTTTGGGGGACCTCAGAACACAGAATATCAAAGCTAGAAGGAAACAGAACTAGAACGTCTAAGTTGGGAGGGATCCTAGAACAGAGGTGTCAAACACACTGCCCACTCCTGAGCACTTCCTGAACCATAATAAAATGCAAAATAAATAAAAATATTATACAATATATCCATTAATTTGTGGTTTTCTAAATTAATATCCAGCCACAGGTTTCTGTTTGAATTTGACACCACTGCCTTAGAAAATAGGATGTCAAAGCTTTGAAGGACCTTGGGACAGAGAACATCAAAGCTAGAAGGAAGCTTAGAACTTGAACATCAGAGCTTAGCATTAGAACATAGAATGTTGGCGTTGGGAACAGATTTAGAACATAGAAATAGAATGTTAGACCTAGAAGGAATCCTAGAAGCTATCTAATCCATCCCTTTCATTTTACATAAAAGAAAGGAAGGAAGGAAGGAAGGAAGAAGGAAGGAAAGAAGGAAGGAGAAGAAAGAAAGAAAGAAGAAGAAAGAAAGAAAGAAAGAAAGAAAGAAAGAAAGAAAGAAAGAAAGAAAGAAAGAAAGAAAGAAAGAAAGAAAGAAAGAAAGAAAGAAAGAAAGAAAGAAGAAAGAAAGAAAAGAAAGAAAAACTGAGGCATGGAGAAGGGAAGGATCCCACAACTAGTAAATAGCTTATGGAGTTTCCTCTCCCTTCATCTCAGCCCCTTCCAGAGGGTCTTCCTGCCTCACCCTCCCACCTTGGGCCAATCCCAGCTTGGAGGGCGAGGGCTGGACTCACGGAGGATTGGTGCAGCTGCGGCTCCTGGAACGCACCCCGGCCCCACACGTCCTGGAGCAGGAGCTGAACTTGGTCCAGGAGCTCCAGCTGCCATCCTGGCCGTAGGGCTGTTCTGACGTCTTCCAGATGCAATGGCCTTTAAAACACCACTGGGAAAAAGGAGAGGATTTGAGCGTCACCCCTGGGCCTGACTCTTCCCAACTCACAACTGAGGGGCCAACACGATGACAAAGTAGATCCCTACAATTTGCTTTGGTTTGTAAGAAACTTTCAAGGTTGGTTGGCATCCTTTCTGAAGTGACGTGTGGGGTCTTCTGTCTTCATAGACAGAAAGCATAATGTCAAGGAGAGAATGATGAATGTGGGGTCAAAGAGTCCTGAGTTCAGACCCCAGATCTGGAATGCATTTTGGAGCTGTGTGACCCTGAGTGAATCACTGTAAGTCTCAGTTTCCCCATGTGTAAAATGGGGATAATAAAAATACAGTAGCCTACTTTTTTCAGGGTGGCTGCAAGGAAGTGTTTCTGTAAACCTTAAAGCATTAGGGAAAGAGGGTTGTTGTAATTCACTCCCTTACACCAGAATCAAGAGGGGAAGAGCTGGCAGGGAGTGAAAGGATGGAGGCGGAGGAGAGATGGACAACAAGGCAAAGTCTACCCACGTCATTGGCTACTGCAGACTGTGAGTGGGAAGATGGAACATGAGAGTCGCCCCACGTCATCTCTTGGGAAAGCTCGGCCATTGGGAGGACCAGCATGAAGTCTTAGTCATGGCTCAGCCCCAGGCATTTGGGGTGGGTCCTCTCCAACCAAGAAAGCTAGCAGCTCACCCCACCAAGAAGCGCCCCCCTCCCCCTTCTCTGATCTCAAACTTAGGCCAGCTGGATTCAATAGAGCAGAAAGCCCTCCCATGACAAAGGAGGAAAAGAAACCCAAAGGGAAAAGTGACTTGGCCAGGGCCACACAGCCAGGCCGCGTCCACTGATCCTGTCCACGAACCGTTCAGCGACCACAGGGCACAGAGTGCTAGGCCTGCCTAAGATGGGGAGTGTCTGCTTGGATAGGCAGGAAGAAATGAGAGGTGCTGGAAGGTGGAAAGGTAGATGGGGGCTGATATCCCCTGTGCCTTTCTGTCCTGATCACCAGCTTCCTCTTTTAACAAATAGGGCAGTGATGGGGTAGCAGGAACAGGGCCTGCACCCTGTCCTCCTTCAGACTGCAAAGCCCCAATCCCTCTGCTCACAAGAATCCCCCAGGATCAGCAAGGGGCTGAGTGCAAGGGTAGGGAGGGGAAGGGGAAAGGGGAGGGCGAAGGGGAGGGGGAAGGGGAAGGAAGACGAGAAGAGGGAAGAAGGAGGAGAGGGGAGGGGAGAAGCACGGATTAAGTGTCCACTATGTGCCAGGCTCTGTGTGAAGCACTTTGCAAAAACTACCTCATTTGGTCCTCACAACAAGCCCAGGAGATGGGTGCTGTTATTATCCCCATTTTGTAGTTAAGGAAAGTGAGGCAGAGTGACTTTCCCAAGGTTCCACAGCTAGTAAGTGAACTCAGGTATTCCTAACTCCAGACCAAGTGCTCTATCTGCTGTGTCACCTAGCTGTGGTATCATAATAATAATGACAATAGTATTCTGCGCATCAATAGCACTTTTAACACATCAGACCTGGAGGAAACTTCAAAGACCACTAATCTAACTCCTTCACTTTACAGAGGAGATGGCTTAGCCAAGGTCACAGGATGATTAAGCCTCAGACCCCAGACTCACATGTCTGCCCAGCCTGTGCCAGAAGGCTACGTGACATAAGGCCAAAACCAACTGGGGGAAAGAGGCCCTGCTGCTGGGGATCAGCTAACAGGATTCCAAGGCAGCACCAGCTCCAGGGGACCACGCGCCAGGCTCTGGGCACCGACTTGGGTGAGCGAAGGCTGACTGCCTGAAGCTAGTCCAAAACTCTCAGGAACAAAACAAACACACAGACTTCAGTCTCCCAGGCAAGGAAACGGAGATGGCCTACTCCCCCCACTCCCAACCCATTCTCTCAAAATTCCACTCAATCCGCAGGAGGCACAGGATTTTCCTGGGGTTCCCTAGTTTGCTATATGTATGTATGCATGTGTGTGTGCGTGTGTGTGTATGAAGGAGGAGGGAAATGGAGAGGGGGAGGAGGAAAGAGAGAGAAGTAAGACAGTCAAAGAAAGACACAGACCAAGAAAGACAGAAAGGAGAGACAGAGAGAGAAAGAGAAGAGAGAAAGAGAGAGAGGAGAGAGACAGAGAAGAGAGGGAGGAGAGCAAGAGAAAGAGAGACAGGAGAAAGATAAGACAGAGAAGGAGAAAAGAGAGGGAGAGAGAGGAAAAGAGAGAGAGGAGAGGGGGAAGGGAGGGGAGCGTGACAGTGCCCAGAGGCTTCCTGGCTTTCCCTATCACGGGCTCGCATTCTGCCCTGATGCCCCCCACCCGCCGCTGGGCGTCGGGTACCTTGCCTGAGGCACACTCAGTCCCATCCAGGGGCGGCCCTTTCTTAGTTTTGCAGAAGTACGGATTGTCAGGATGGCTGCACCACAGCTGTTTGCAAGAGTCGAAGGTTCTGAACTGCAAGACAAGACAGATGTCAAAAAACACCTACGAGCTATGTTATTTAATGTGCTCAGTTTCCCCATCTGTAAAATGGGGGAAGGGAAAGGAATAAGCATTTCTATAACGCCTTCTATGAGCCAGGCACAGTGGTAAGCACATTACAATGATTATCTCCTTTGCTCCTCACAAGAACCCTGGAAGGCAAGTGCTATTTGCAAAGATGAGGAAACAGGCACACCATGTTTAACTGACTCACCTAGGTTCACACAGCTAGGGAGTATCGGAGGTTGCATTTGAACTCAGGCCTTCCTGACTATAAATCCATCGTCCTTCCAGCTCAGCCTGGACGTCCTCTAAGGTCCCTTTCAATCCCAAGTCCCTGAGGCTGCACCACCCTCTGCCTCTTGTCCTCAAGTCTCATCTTCCCCTCCCCCCCCAACAAATGATAAATTCCCCACAATTTTCTTGTTTCTTCTTGTACTCAGCGGAGAACCAGAGAAGAGAGGACAGGAGAATCACAGCACATCAGAGCTGGAAGAAACATGGAAGAACCAGCATGCCCCAGCGAGAGAGAGCATTCAATATGGAGCCAGAGGATTTGGGTGCAAATTCTTCCATCTCTATCGTTTCCCTGTGTGGCCTTGACAAGTCATGACCCTTCTGGGCCTCAGTTTCCACATCTGTAAAATGGGGTTGGACCAAATGGTTCTGAAACCCTTCCAGCTGTAAATCTAGGATTCTCTGACCATCCCCTCCCAGCTGTGCCTCTTACTCTTCAGACGTCACCACCACGACCCAACTGCCTTCTCACCCTGGAACGGCCCTCTGCCACGCCAGCCCCCTTCTCCCGTTGGCGAATATCTTCCAGGGTCTCCATTTTGGGGAGGGGACATGGCCAGCCCCCACTCGTAGGCAGCCATCCATGAGCACCTCCATCTCAATCCCCTACTCTTTAGCTCCCCTGCACATGTCATCTTTTTTTGTCATTGACGTATTGGTGTGTTTCATTTTTTCGTTACAAATATTTATAGATTGTGTCCACTTCCTGAGAGAGCTCCTCTAACAGAGTCAAACAGCTGGGCAAAACAAACAATCAGAGACCTCATCAGAAAGTGCAAGCACATGTCCACAGATGGGGCATCCCAACGTGCCAGGAGAGGAGAGGAGGAAGAGAGGAGAGAGGAGAGGAGAGGAGAGGAGAGGAGAGGAGAGGAGAGGAGAGGAGAGGAGAGGAGAGGAGAGGAGAGGAGAGGAGAGGAGAGGAGAGGAGAGGAGAGGAGAGGAGAGGAGAGGAGGAGGAGAGGAGGAGGAGAAGAAGGAGAAGAAGGAGAAGGAGAAGGAGAAGGAGAAGGAGAAGGAGAAGGAGAAGGAGAAGGAGAAGGAGAAGGAGAAGGAGAAGGAGAAGGAGAAGGAGAAGGAGAAGGAGGAGAAGGAGAAGGAGAAGGAGAAGGAGAAGGAGAAGAGAAGGAGAAGAGAAGGAGAAGGAGAAGGAGAAGGAGAAGGAGAAGGAGAAGGAGAAGGAGAAGGAGAAGGAGAAGGAGAAGAGAAGGAGAAGAAGAAGAAGAAGAAGAAGAAGAAGAAGAAGAGGAGGAGGAGGAGGAGGAGGAGGAGGAGGAGAGGAGGAGGAGGGAGGAGGAGGGGAGAGGAGAGGAGAGGAGAGGAGAGGAGAGGAGAGGAGAGGGAGAGGAGAGGAGAGGAGAGAGAGGAGAGGAGAGGAGAGGAGAGGAGAGGAGAGGAGAGGAGGAGGAGAGGAGGAGGAGGAGGAGGAGGAGGAAGAAGGAGGAGGAGAAGGAGAAGGAGAAGGAGAAGGAGAAGGAGAAGGAGAAGGAGAAGGAGAAGAAGGAGAAGGAGGAGAAGAAGGAGAAGGAGAAGGAGAAGAAGAAGGAGAAGAAGAAGAAGAAGAAGAAGAAGAAGAAGAAGAAGAAGAAGAAGAAGAAGAAGAAGAAGAAGAAGAAGAAGAAGAAGAAGAAGAAGAGGAGGAGGAGAAGGGGAGGGAAGAGAGAGGAAGAGAGAGAAGAGAAGAGAAGAGAAGAGAAGAGAAGAGAAGAGAAGAGAAGAGAAGAGAAGAGAAGAGAAGAGAAGAGAAGAGAGAGAAAGAAGAGAAAGAGAGAGAGAGAGAGAGAAGAGAAGAGAGAAGAGAAGAGGAGAGAGAGAGAGAGGAGATAGGAGAGAGAGAGAACAAAGGAGAGAGGAGAGAAAGAAAGAATGAAAGAGGAGACAGAAGGAGAATATAGAGAGAAGAGAAAGAGAGAGAGATGTGTGTATTGGGGGGTGTACACATATAATATATAATTATATATGCACAATATAGGCATATATATATATACATAATTATTCTGCCCCCTGAATCTGTAATATCTCTGTAATGAATGGCATGTGTTGTACTCCCCCACTAGAACGTAACCCCCTTGAGGGCAGGGAATGTCCTTTCTTTGGCTTGTATTTATATCCTAGCACTTGATACAGCGCCAGGCACATAGTAGGTACTTAATAAATGCTTATTACTTACCTACCTGCCTAGAATGTCAGCACTGGAAGGATCTTAGATCCTACAACATAGAATGTCAGCCCTGAGAGCTCCTTACAGATTATCTCTTCCAACCGTCTCATTTTAGAGATGAGAAAACCGCAGTTCTGCCTGGGACCTGACTCCTTCAATGGCAAAGGAAGCTAGGAGAGGGCCCATAGGCCCAGCCCGTGTCCCCCTCCTTCCTCCAAGGCCACTGTGTGGCTGCGGTCCCTGCAGATGCAATGCCAGGCAGGACCTGGGCTGGGCTGGACCGGTACTCACGGCTGTGCAGGTCTGGTAGCCAACACCAAAGTCAAATCGGCACTGCTCATCCATGGAGTAATCAATCCCAGGAAGCTCTGGCAGCTGGGGCCACTGGTGTTCAAAGGGGTCATCCAGGAGGCAGTCATAGGAGCTGGGGACATGAGGGATGACAGGGGAGAGGGCAGTCAGCTGGGTCTGGCTGTTGCAGGGAAGGGATGCCCTTTGTGGACTCCAGGACCAAAGTGAGGATCCCCAAGTCTGCCCCTCTGTCCTCCTCTGTCCTCCCTTCAAGCTGGCAGATGGTGAAACTGCTTTCAGTGGAGGTCAGCAAGAAGTCCCGTCTGCACCTCACCCACCCCACCTTTCCCTCTCACTTGGGTCTTGGCCAAACTAGGCAAAACTTCTCATGGTCTGACCCCTTCCCTGACACACTTGTCTTCCTCCATCTGTGTTTTCCAGCCTCTCACACATCACCCCAGCCAACCCTCCCCTAGGATGCTATGTGTGACAGAAAGGCCCCCAGGATGCTCTGTAGGCCTCAGCCAACTCATGTAGACTTGGGCAGACTCAGCCTAGCAGAAGCCCAGATCCCTGAGGCCATGAGAAGCTGGGAAGGTGAGTGAGCCCAGGGTGGGAGCTCAGGTTAGGCTGAGTTATAGCCTAGCTCTCCATCACAGAGGATTTGGAAAGAGGGGTCATCTCTTTCTTTAGGGTTATCTGCCAAACGCAGGAAACCTCTGAGACCAGCAGTAAGAGCTGCATTCAAATCTTACCTCTGACACTCCCTGTGTGACTTTGGGCAAGTCTCTACCTCTCTTATCCTCAGTTCACTCATCTGTAAAATGGGGGTAATAACACATCCCCCCACCTCAAGGGGTCATTAAGAGAGCCAGCACTGCAGAAATGGGAGCTGTCATTTAGAGCTATAAAGGATCACCATGGTAGGGGAGGCAAGTGAGAGGGACAGAACCACATTGGGCTAGTCTGGGATTCTATGCCAAGTGTCTCAGGTCATACTATGTGGGTGGCTTCCTATTCCATCTACACTAGGGCCAGACCAAATATGGCACCACCCGCACTAAACTATGAGGGTCCTGCTCTGGGCCCCTCGTGCACTTCACCGGCCGTGGGGTGGGGGAGGGAAGGAGACACCTACTGGATGTAGCGGTTCAGCTCCTGCTTGCTACAGCGCGACCAGTGGTAACGGTGGAAGGCGGCCTGCACCAGTGGTGCCATGATACTGCCCATGCTCGTCTCATCTGCACAGCGGTTCCCCTGGCCGTCATGCTCCATGCCTAGCCTAGGAGAAAGGCCCTTGAACTGGGCTCCGCCAGGATGCTCCCCAGCAATGGCAGAGAGGGCAGCCCAAGCAGGCAGGAGGGTCCAGTGGGTGACACCCAGGGGCACCTTGTTGTGGGACCCTGGACAAATTCCTTCAGCGCTCCCACTTCCCAGACCGTGGAATGGGGTGGGGTGGTGGTGGGAGAAGCCCTGTCCCTCCCCATGGCTCCTGAGAGGAATGGTGAGTCTGCATCCCTTCCCTAACCAGCCAACCCCAACCAAAATCCCCCATTACACATACACACACACACACACACACACACACACACACACACACACACACACACACACGCACACACACAGACCCACCATGTTCAGCTGGTTCCCATCTCGGCACCTTTGATTACGCCATTCCCCCAACCTCAAACACACTACCTTCTCTCCTCTCCAAAATCTCTCCACTAATCAAGGCAGACACAGCTCAAGTCCATTTCTTCCAGGAATCTTGCCCTGTTCTTCCCAACCCAAAGGGAGTGAGCTCTCCCTCCCTCTGAAATATCATAACACTGACTTTCTAAATCTGAATTCAAATCTTGGCTCTACCTCTTACTATTTATGTGGGTTTGGGCCAATCACAAGCCTGCTCTGGAGCTCAGTTTCCCCAACCCCACGGGGCTCTCATAAAGAAAGCATTTTGTAGAACTTAAATCACTATATAAATATGAGCCCTGATTTTCTGTAAAATGAGGGGACTTTGCTGCATGACCCCCGAGATCCCTTCTAGCCCCCACTCCTGGGACCCTGGGAACGCTGCAATGACTTGAACACCATGGAATCGTGTGCCAGGCTGGAGGACACATCCACCCTCATCTAGCAACCTGGGCTGGAATGTTTCCAAATGGCTCACAGTGAGTATCGGGGGCTGGTGTTATTGTCCCATTTCATGGTTAAGAAACTTGAGTCACAAGGTCAGGCAGCACCCAGCTCTGGAGAAAAGCTACACAAATTTCTAGGTGGCTGAGATAACAGTTGCATCTCCCTGCCTCCCTAGGCTTACAAGGAAGCTTCCAAACCATTCCAACGTCACCTGGCCATTGCCAGGTAACCTCCATCCATCTCCCTGTGGCCCCACCCCAGCCAGAGACCTGGGTGGGGGGAGAGAAGGGGTCACTTACACATGGCCAGTTTCATGAGCCACCACAAAGGCAGAGGAAAAGCCATCCTCGTGGTTAAGGGTGCAGCTTCTCAGGGGGTGACACATGCCAGTAACGGGTGCATACCCTGCCACAAGAGGAGGGGAGCAGGAGTAGAAAAGGAAGGTGGAGAGACACAAAGAGAGAGCAAACGGAGGGAGGGAGAAATAGAGGGAAAGAGGAGGGGGAAGGGGAGGAGAGAGGGAGGGATGGAAGAGGGGAGAGAAAGAAAGAGAGAGAGAGGAGAGAGAGGGAGAGAAAGAGGGGGAGAGAGAGAGAAAGAAAGAGAGAAGTGAGAGGGAGGGAGGGAGGGAGGGAGAGAGAGAGAGAGAGAGAGAGAGAGAGAGAGAGAGAGAGAGAGAGAGAGAGAGAGATGTATCATTGAAATGTAAATTAAACTCTAGGCCAAAGCCTCACCCACATCCACAACAGCCCTGAGATACAGATAGTGCTAGTGTTAATATCCCCATTTTATAGATGAGGAAATAGAGGCTGAGGGAAGAGCAGGGACTTGGCCAAGGTAACCCAGACAGGATTCAGACCCCAGACTCTCTTGACTCTTGGTACTGCTCTCTTTCTAATACACCCCCAGCTGCCTCTTTAACAAGGAGTCAGTTCAGAAAGTAGTGAATGATTTGGTCCAATGAATTCAGCAGGCCCTTAAGAAGAGCCTGATATGTGCTTATCACTCTCCCTGTATGCGGTGGGAAGAAACCCCCCACACACAACAACAACTCTGTACTCTGGCCAGATCTCCTCTGCTTTGGAGTGGGACTCCACATCCCAGCCCTCTCCTGGGCCTTAGTTTCCTCCCCAAAAGAGCAGAAACGGTGGCTTGGGTTCGAATCTCAAATGTGTTACTACTGACCTTGGCCAAGTTATTTAGTGCCTGTGGGTTGTAGTTTCTTCATTGTAATAAGGGGTTAAAATTCATGGTATTTACTGTGATGATAGGGCTTTGTAACCATAAAGTGTTATTAAAGAAATAAATATGTGCCAGGGTGAAATTTTTGCTTTTCTTTGTATCCTTAGCATAGTGCCTGGGTGCTTAATAAGTGATGAATGAATGAATGAATGAATGAATGAATGAATGAATGAATGAATGAATGAATGCAACAACAACAGGTAACAGCCAGAATGAGAGAGGACCTCAGAGTCCATCTGGCCCAATCTCCCATTTTACAAAGGAGCAAACCCAGAGAGGTTAAGTCATTTCCCCGAGGTCACCCAGGCAGTAAATAGGACAGCCAAGACTTGAACTCAGAACCAACAGCTTCAGGTTGAACACTCCAAGTCCATGACACTGGCTTCTTTTCCTGATTTTGCCAGCTCGGGAGCAGTCACCCTCCATGCCCACGGCCTCCCTTTGGCGTAGGATCTTAGGACAGAGAGTTAGTGGGGACCTCAGAGACGGGAGAACTGACTGGTCCCCAGCTGGTCAGTAGCAGAGGCGAGATTTACACCGAGGTTCTCTGACCGCCATCTGAGGCACCTTCTGAATTACACCATCCTCGTCCAGTGCCCAAGAAATCCCCTGATTCTGCTAACAGCAAACAACATTTTTCAAACCTTCCTGATCTGTGCATTGGAAGAGTCTGGGAAGGACCTGGAAAAAGCCTCCCTCTAGTCCTGGAGGGGGGTTAGAGAAGTGGGCATGTGCAGGGTTGGGGGGGGGGTCATCTCTTGTCTACTCCGTCCTTTTTTCCCCCTCTAGCCAGCTGCACACACCTCTCTATGGGGAGTACAGTACCTTGCATACCTGCGGGACCAAAATCCTGCCGCGTGAGGAAGACAGCGTGGTCATGGTGCTCGGCATGGCCAGGATCCGAGCGCTGCTGGGAGTGAGCCCAGCGGCACACCTGCTCCAGGCTCCTGGACGGATTCCCTCGCTCAATCAAGCTCAGAGACTGGAGGGAGTTTGGGGGTAGAGAACCAGAGAGGGGTTAATTTGGGAGAGTGGATGCCATGATGCATTATAAGACAATTGGTCCAATCAAAGTGTAGAGAGCACTGAGTGAGGAATCAGAGAACCTGGGGTCAACCCCACTTCTGACATTACCTGGGTGACCTTAGGCAAGTATTACTTCACCTCTCCAGGCCTCAGTTTCCTCACCTGTAAAATGGAAAGTTTGGCCTTTGCCGCTCCTGACAGCCCAAAAATGTATTATCCTGAGCCAAAGTCTGAAGAGGCTCTTGAGGTCTAGAATGTCCATGAGGCTACCCTGGGCAATCCCACCCAAGACCACTTAGAACACCTCAGAGCTCTCCTGGGAAATCCTCTCCAGTCCCTACCTGGATCCCAAAGAAACAATCTCCCACCCAGAAGGCCCTCAGCACTCTTCATTGTCCATCCCAAACCCTACCTAGTCTTCAAGGTCTACGTCAAGTCATGCCTTCTGCAGGATGTCCTCCTGCTCTCCAAAGTCATCATTACCCTCTCCCTTCCCTGCCCCCCTGCCTCCCCATAGCACCAGGATTCGCTGGTACTTGTTACATTCACTCAAATCATTTGTCACATATTTTTCTCTCTTTCAGTTGTTTCATGTGTAAGTCTTGACTTCCCAGGAAAAAAAAAATCTATATTAAAGATCTTGGAGCCCATGTCTACGATATTTCACCATTTGCAAAGCGTTTTCCTCAAAACAACCCTGAGAGACCGATAGTAGCAGAATTCTCATCCTTGCTCCCAAGAGCAGGGGTTGTCTCACTTTTGTGTCTCTGGGACCTAGCACAGTGCCTGGTGATTAAGAAACGTTCTTTAAATGATTGATTGGTCCCCATTTTACAAGTAAGTAAACTGAGGTCCAGAAAGTGAAGTGTTTTTGCCCAAAGTCACATAGCAGGGAGCTAAGATGTGAACGCATGTTCTCTGCCTCTCTTTTTGGTGTAACATGCTAGCAGAGAATATGAAATCTCATAGGATCACAGGACCATTAAGTAAGAACGAGAAAGGCCCTCAAAGATCGTCTAGATCAACCCGCCTCTTTTACAGTTGAGGAATCCAAGGCCCAGGGAAGTTAAGGGGCCTGCCCAAGGTCACATGGGCAGTAAGAATCAGAGGAGAGATTGGAACCAGGACTTCCAACATTGGAGCTAGTGCTCTCACTGCCATGCTGCTGCCTCCCCAGGTCTCCAAATGTGGGACAGGTTTCTCCTCCGTAATACTGGCACACTCCTGCCCGGGCAGCCTTTGCTCTGCCCCTGGGGCTGACCTGATGCCTGCTTGCTTTCCTGCTCTGATGGCAGCACTTACCTGTCGGTAACCCACCATAATCATCCGTACCAGGGCAATGTTCATATGCACCCCCAGGGATTCATCATGGTAGATCTCATCCACCTGGAGGAAGAAAGAAGGAAACGTGGGTTAGCACATGCAGAGACGAGAAGTCAAAGTCAATCTGTAAGGCTCTGGGAGCTAGTTTATCCCAGGCTTTCAAGATGATCTAATCCAGCTCCCTTCATCTTACAGGTGGGGAAACTGATTTCCTAGGAAAGGAAGGGATTTGGCCAAGGTCATTCAGGTAAACAGAAGAGCCAGGATTTGAACCTGGGCCTTCCAAATCCATACTAGCTTCCTTTCCACTACACCACACTGACCCTCCAGGTAAAACTGCTCATTTTGCAGATGAAGACACTGAGACCCAGAAAGGGTTAGGGACTTGCCCAAGGTCACACAACTGGTCAGTGTCAGAGCTGGCATGGATAGATCCTCTGCCCAAATCAGAGCTCTGGCGCGCTCTTATCTATTACCGCTTTTCCCTTTCTTTACCTGCCCAGTAGAAGATGCTGGGCTCTCAACTAAGTTATCTCTGCAGCCATCAATGAACTGTGCAAGAGAAGGGGAGGAAAACCATGCCCATGTCCAATATCTTAGGCTGTCTCCCCCTTTGTTTTCCTTCACCTTCATCTCATTGCCTCCAGCCTCTACTTTATCAAGGGGTCTAGCAGCCTCTGACATGTCCTAAGGGCCCTTCCAGCCAACTCTGATGTGCTGTGTTCTATGTTCCAATTGTCTGATCGGCTCCAAGTTCTAACTGCCCATTCAGCTCTGACCATCTCTGTTCTGAGGGTCCAACTCCTTCAGCTGATCTGCCTGGAGACTGCAGGCCAATGAGGAGTAGTGAACTCCCCAAAGTTGCTCAGGAATGAGCCTTTTAGCCTGGACTCCAACCCTGGGCTTCTGACTCCAAGTCCACAGCTCCTTCCACTACAGCACGCCATTTCACTCATCTCACTGCCTTGTGTTCCTTACCCATCAATTCTTCCAAAATTAGAAGTCTGCTCATCTCGGGAATAGTCAGAGCTGACATTTACAGAGTGTGTTAAGGTCTGCCAAGCACTGCACGCCATCCCATCTGCTCCTCACAATGACCCTGTGATTTAGGTGCTGTTATTATCTTCATTTTCCCAATGAAGAGTCTGAGCCTGAGAGACATTATGATAAGACACAAAACGCCAGCTTTGAGAGGGATCTTAGAATACAGTACATAGAATAACAGAGCTGGAAGGGACCTTAGAATGTAGAATGTCAGAGCTGAGAGGGACCCCTTACATAAAATACAAAATGTTAGAACTAGAAGGAACTTGAGATCTAGAATATGGAGTAGCAAAGACTATAAATATACCAAAGAGGAAACACAAACTGGAGCAGGCAGCTGTGTGGAGAGTGGAAAGAGCATTGGCTCTGGGTTCAAATGCTACCTCCAACCCTACTTATGACCTTGGGCAAGTCACTTTCCTCTATGGCCTCAGTTTCTTGATCTATAAAATGAGATGTTTGGACTAAACGCCTTCAATGTTCTGCTCTAGCTCTAAACCTGTGAGCCTCTAAGTTAACATTCACAAAAATATTCAGCTTAATAGAGCACTACAAAGTAAAACAAGCTCACACTCACCTAGTGGGCAAAAATGAATAGCAATGAGTTTCTTTTTTTTTTAACTTCAATGTTGGTGAGACTGTGGACAAACAGGTATACACATGCATTGCTGATGTAATTGCAAACCCGCTGCAATCTTTCCAGGGAAACAATTTGGCAATGGAAAGGAGATCACAAAACTGACCACACCCTTTGACCCAGTAATCCCCCTGCTGGGAATATAGAAACAGAACTATTTTTGCCAATACCATAGAATTTAGAGCTAAAATGGGACTCAGAGATCATCTATTCTAAACCCCTCATTTTATGAATGATGAAAATGTGGCCCAGAGTGTTGAACTGTCAATGAACTTTCCCTCTTGAATTGTTTTTAAATTTTATTTTTAGTTCTTAATTCTCTCCCTCCCTTCTCTTCCCCCACTCATTAAGAAGATGAGAAAAATAAACCTGTGACAAATATGTATGGCAAGCAAAACGAATTTTGAATTTATTTTTTATAACTTTGTATGTATTTGGTTGGATTGGTATTGAGTTCTCCCAGTAGAAGGTAAACTCCTAGAGGGCAAAAACTGTTTTGTTTTTGTCTTTGTAGACCCTGAGTCCAGCACCTAGAACAACGAGGAATAAGGGCTAGGAAATGAGCATTTATTAAGCACCTACTATGTGCCAGGCACTGTTCTAAGTGCTTTGCAAATATTTCATTTGATCCTCACAACAACCCTGGGAACAAAGTGCTGTTATTATTCCCATTTTACAGTTAAGAAAACAAAGGCAAACAGAGTGACTTGCCCAATATATCATAGCTATTAAGTATCTGAGGCTGACTTTGAACTCAGGTCTTCCTGAGCGCCAGACCCAGCGCTCTATTTACAGTGCCACCTAGAACAGTGTCTCGTACATAATAGGTGCTTAATAAATACGTACTAAATTGCAGTGAGCTTCCCACCACCACGTCTGGGTTAGGGGTAGATAGAGTCATGAGCTGAGCACTGGAAGGGTCCTGAGATACCATCTAGCCCAAGCGTGCCCGTCTTCTAGACACAGATCTAAAGAAATGAAATGATTCCCAAAGGTCCCAGAGGGACTAGGTGAGTGGTAGAACAAGGAATGGAGCTCCATCACCTGGCTCCAAACTCCTTGCACTGAACCACCCTGCCCCCTTAAGGGGACCGGGGAATACTGTGGGAGTATGCCCAAGGTACAGGAGCTATGGGAGCAGCATGGACCATGAAATGAACTCTGGTTCTCAAATCAGAGGACCTGAGCTGAAATCCCGTCTTTGACATTTACTAGTTGTGTGACCTTGAGCAGGACACTTAACGTCTCTGAAACTCAGTTTCCTCATCTGCAAAATGAGGGGGTTGGACTAGATGACTTTCGGCATCTCTTCCAGCTCTAGATTGATTACCTAGGTTTAAATTCTAGATGTGCCACTTATTACCTGGGTGACCTCAGACATTTTATTGTGCTCTCTGGGCCTCGGCTGCCTCATTTGTAGAGTGAGGGGGCATGGGCTTGATAGCCACCTCCAACCCTAGATGTAGGATCCTGTGATCCATTACAAAGCCGTCTCAGTTGAATGCCCAGCCTCTACACTGGCCAAACCAAATGGATGAAAAGTACCAGTTATCAGATACTGTAGGATGGGAAGGCCACTGAGTGGATAGCCCTTACTGAGGGACAGTGAGCTGGGCCAGAATTTAACAGGAGGAAGAGGAGGAGGAGGAGGAGGAGGAGGAGGAGGAGGAGAGGAAGAAGAAGAAGAAGAAGAAGAAGAAGAAGAAGAAGAAGGAAGAAGAGAAGAGAGAAGAAAGAGAAGAAAAAGAGGAGGGAGAAGAAGAAGAAGAAGAAGAAAAGAAGAAGAAGAAGAAAGAAGAAGGAAGAGAAGGAGAAGAAGAAGAAGAAGAAGAAGAAGAAGAAGAAGAGGAAGAAGAAGAAGAGTAAAAGAAGGAAGAGAAGGTGGAAAACTAGGAGGAAGAGAAAGACAAGGAGGAAGAGAGTAAAGAGGAGGAGATAGCAGGAGAGGAAGAAAAGAAGGAAGAGGAGGAAGAAGACAAGAAGAAGAGGAGATGAGGTTTTTCACATTTATTAAACCATGCTGTGCTTTACATGATCCCAGGTTTCTCACTCCTATAAAATCCCATCTGTTAACTATCAGTACTTGCCCATCGACACCATGTGGCCATGAACCAGGGAACATCACAATCTCAAAGGGATCAAATTAACAAGCTGAGAGATCAGTGGAAGGAAGCATGGTGGGTGGAAGGAGGTGAAGCCTGTGAGCAATGAGGGCTTGCTTAAGAAGTGATGCAGGAGCCATCATTGAGGACATGCCTAAAGGGGTCCATAGGAGATGAATCAGAGGGACACTTCCAATGAACTTAGTACATCCTCTAGGGAGGACTGATAGGAGGACATGGGAAGGAACCATAGTGGGGAAGAGAATGTAAGCCCCTTGAGGGCAGAGACAAGTTTTACTTTTTCTTTGTACAGTATCCCTGATGCTTAGCACAGCAAATCAATAAATGTTTGTTGATTGACTGACTGATTGAAACTGTGGATAAGTTATAATCTGCACCAGAGAAGAAAGTGCCCGCCTTGACAAGATGGCAGCCCTACTGAAGGGTTGAATTAGCAACCCTATATTGTTGTGAGCATACCATCATCAACTTGGACTCTGTCTCCCTGGCTGGAGTGGGAGGGATAGGGTACAGTCTTTGAGGACTTATAGACTGAGGCAAGCCACTAGTACTGGCTCCAGTGGTACCATATTTGAGGAGAAAGAGGACTCTAGGAACAGGATTTGAAGCACGTCAATCATGCTGGCCAGATATGTGTGCCAAGCTGGGACAGGAGCTAGGTGCCTACTTAACCCCAGAAGACTGTATGGATGCATGGAATGGAGCTCTAATAGCTTAAAATGACGTGAAGACTTTGGGGACACCCTGTATTAAGATGGAACTTCCGTTGTGTAACTAAACGATTCTATACTCCTCTGGAGTTTAGAGTAAGTCTCTTCCCAAATATCGGTTTCAGTTTCCTGTCCTACTAAACGAGATTAGCCTAAATAAGTTCTGAGGACCTGGGTTCAAATCCTGACCCATCACTACCTGTATCACCTTGATCAAGTTATTTAACCTCCGAGGGCCTCAGTTTCCTCATCTGTAAAGTGAGGGGGCTCAGACTGTCTGAGGTCTAAGGTCACTTTCAGCTTTAGACCTCTTATCCGGTCCTGTCTCAGATCATGCCTCAGGCACTTACTAACTGCAACCCTGGGCAAGTCACTTAACCACCATTTGCCTCAGTTTCCTCAACAATAAAATGGTGATAATAACAACAGCCACCTGCCAGGGTTGTTGTGAGGATCAAATGAAATGATATTCATAAAGCCTCTTGCACAGTACCTGGCACATCGTAGGTGCTTAATAAATGCTTTCCCTCTTCCCTTCCCTGTCTGCCT